TGAAATTGCTGCTCATGGCGATGCATTAGCATCTGTGTTCCAAGACCATCGAGCAAATATGATGCCGTGTGATTGGAGATTTGACAGCTGCTTGAAGGTTCATGGGTACTTGACATGGGGCTATAGGCATCTCGAATCAGTCCAGACGTGTAGCTGTTGTAGCTATCCCGTCTGTTGGCCAGTCAGAACTACCCATCTTGCCTCACATGCAGAGACTCATGCAGAGCCTGCCCAACACACACACACACACTGCCAGCTTGACGATCCCCAGCCCAACATGCAGTGCTCTGTGCTGGCGACACGTATGCGCTGTGCTAGCTTGCAATGTGAGATAAAAGGAGGGTTGTGTCCAAGTGGAAAGACGCCAATACCTACAGGACAAAGCATGGCGCTCATGATTTGGATATTTCTTATAGGGCCACACGTCGTCCAGCTGGTCAGCATAGGTCAACAGCGTAACAAACGCGAAAGGCCACAGCGGGAGCACTTCCTCACCCAGCACGCCGCGCAAAGGATTTCTCAGGGTCAGATGGGTCCATTATGCCAAGTAAGAGTGACGCCAGAAGTCGAGAAATGGACCTCTGCCGCTCAAGAACTTGTGCGTCTTTCTTGCAGCCTCCACAAGCTCCCGGATTCTTGCCCGAGCGCTTCGTGTTGGATGTGAAAATGCTGCTCACGGCGATGCAGCAGCATCTGTGTTCCAAGATCTTCGGGCAAACATGGTGCCACATGATTCGGGATTCGGCAGCTACTTGAAGGTTCATGGATACTTGACATTGGACTATAGGCACCTCAAATAAGTCCAGAATTGTAGCTGTTGTAGCTGTCCGTTTGTCAGCCAGTTAAAACTACCCATCTTGCCTCACATACAGAGACTCATGCAGACATTGCCAGACACACAATGCTAGCTTGACAACTCTCAGCCCAATATGCAGTGCTCTGTGATAGCGACAAGGACAGGTGAGTTTGTGCTAGGTCTTTTGAACATTTTGCCTGTCACGGAGGCCAGTGACATGCAAAATCAACGACTGCAGCCCTTGCTGCTCTGACAGGTTTTCAGCTCATGTGCTTGCAACAAGGACGGCTAAGTATGCGTGGCAAAGGAAGTCTGTATCCAAGTGGAAAGACGCCAAAACCTACAAAACAAAGCCTGGCGCTCATGATTTGGATATTTCTTGTAGGGCCACACGTCGTCCAGCTGGTCAGCATAGGCCAACAGCGTAACAAACGCGAAAGGCCACAGCGGGAGCACTTCCTCACCCAGCACGCCGCGCAAAGGATTTCCGAGGGTCAGATGGGTCCATTATGCCAAGTAAGAGTGACGCCAGAAGTCGAGAAATGGACTTCTGCCGCTCAAGAACTTGTGCGTCTTTCTTGCAGCCTCCACAAGCTCCCGGATTCTTGCCCGAGTGCTTCGTGTTGGATGTGAAATTGCTGCTCATGGCGATGCAGCAGCATCTGTGTTCCAAAATCTTCGAGCAGACATGGTGCCACATGATACAGGATTCGGCTGCTACTTGAACGTTCATGTGTACTTGACATTGGGCTATAGGCACCTTCAATCAGTCCCGACGTGTAGCTGTTGTAGCTATCCCGTCTGTTAGCCAGTCAGAACTACCCATCTTGCCTCACACGCAGAGACTCATGCAGAGCCTGCCCGACACACACTGCCAGCTTGACGATCCCCAGCCCAATATGCAGTGCTCTGTGCTGGCGACACGGATGCGCTGTGCTAGCTTGCAATGTGAGATAAAAGGAGGGTTGTGTCCAAGTGGAAAGACGCCAAAACCTACAGGACAAAGCATGGCGCTCATGATTTGGACATATCTTATAGGGCCACACATCGTCCAGCTGGTCAGCATAGGCCAACAGCGTAACAAACGCGAAAGGCCACAGCGGG